ATAAATCGTGACGAGGCCTCGTATCCTAGGATACGGGAACAAAACGCGGGAAAACAAGCGAAAACTGCTTGTGAAGCCAAATTCAGATGCTATTGTGTCGACTTTAACGGCTTGTTTCTTGTTGCTTTTTGCGATTTATAACGATTTTTGTGTGTATTTTAAGACTTCGTTCCCACAACGAAAGCGGAAAAGGAGTATATTATAAAAGCGACCGGTTTTTCTCGCGTTTTAGTGTGGAAAAAATGACAACGTAGTGATGGTGTTTATCCAGAAGCGAAAAACAGTATTTTACTGAGATTTTAACGTCAATATAAAGGTTATTCCGTGAAGAATCAAGACAACTATGGAATGAAAGTATAACTTCTCAAATTTGACATAAATATGAAAGAAAACAACAGCCAAAAATCACAAGAGAACGTCAAATGTTATTGATTCGTACGGAAAAATATGAACTATGGCTGTGGCTCGATAACATTCTGCAAGCAGCTTACAAGTTTAAAAAATAAAGGCTACATTACCTGAGTGAGTTGTAATCCTATTTCTTCAACAATAGTTTCATATTTCTTACGATTTTGGTATTGTATAGACGTTTTATAGCCTTGTTGGTTGTTTGTTTTGGCCATACAAACTACGACAATGATAAAAAGTCAAAGGTTTCCTTTTTCGATTGACTCCAGCATCTTTTGCTTTAAATATCATGTTATATTTTCTCAGAAGTATTTTTTTCAACTTTCAAACTCAGTTTTATAGATGTTATTTTCGAAAAAAGCCGTAATATTCACGAAAAAAAGCTGCCATAGCCGACAGCAAAAAAACATTTTGTCAATTTTCCCGCGTTTTTCCCCGTTTCCTAGGATACGAGGCCTCGATCACGATTTATGAATAAGGTCTATAATAGAGCAAGATATATTTATATCTTAAAATTAATTATTGCTACTCAAGTTTCACGCCTTATTCAAGACGATCATTCTTAGTCTCGTCATTGGACGATTATTCTTAGTCTGATCGTCTTGAATAAGGCGTGAAACTTGAGTAGCAATTAATAATTAATTTTAAGATGTATATATATATATATATATATATATATATATATATATATATATATATATATATATATATATATATATATATATATATATATATATATATAATCTGTACCTTCCCGTTTATGGATCGATGAGTACACCGCCTTGAAGCCTTGATCAGAAATGAATAGATTTGTTCGCATAACAACAAACATGTCTCTGCCACTTGACAACAAATCAGGAGTGTCACGACCACACCACCTTCCTAAGGAATAACTGCTACTTGATGACCCATTGAACACTTCAAGGTAGTCACAATTACAGTTAGGTTCACAATCTTCAATGTAGAGAGCTTGGACTGTTAATCTTATCACATAGTCTGGATCCGCCTCAATACGCCAGGAACAATGTACATTTCCCCAATAGGGGTTCGGGTAATTGCGACTACTGACTGACTTTTCATCTCTGTTCGCGTAAAGATTTCCACTACCAGGACAAACTGTTTTTGAAGAAAATGAGGAAAGATTGAATTTAACAATTTCTTGGAGAACATATAGTCTTTACATTCCTTTCACACCTCTATTTAATTGCGACGTCGTTGTCTTTGAAATCTGGAATTTGAAGTCCTGCGCTTCAGTCAAGGATTTTCACTCTGTGGTCATGTTTCTGAAAGTATGAAGTCTAAAGTCCATATCTTAAGTGTAGAGACTGGATCTGAATTCTGGGGTTTATATGCAGTACCATGCGATAAGTTTAAAGTCAGAACTTTGAAATGTGAAGCCTGATCATAAAATTCTATGTTGAATATTGGGGTGGTAATGGGAATTCGGTGTCGCAGTCGTCGGAGCAAGCGCCTTTCACCTATGAGATCGTGGGGACGAATCTCGCAATGAGCTCATGTGAAAAGAGTCGGTCAATGCTATGTGGAAAGTCGTTGGTTTTCTCCGGGTGCTCCTATTTCCTCCCACACGGCAAGTTGACAAGTACTAACAAAAGTAATTGCTGCAAAGATAAAATAGTGAAGGCTGTTTTATAATTAGATTAGCGCGTATAATTGACATTTCTGTAGCGCAAATTTGCATGTGGATCTGAGTAAATGCGCTTTACATCAAGTGTTATACGGTTATACGTTATACGGTATAATTTTATCATATTCACATGCAAATTTGCGCTATAGAAATGTCAATTTTCATCTTAAATCTCCTGGCTGAAGCGTAATGCTGAATTTGGGTCATATGGTATGCCACTTAGCCTATCTACAGACTAGTACAATATTACGATGTAATATAGTCTTTGAAAGTTCGTCGCATGAATTGCTCCTCGACTCTCAGCTGCCCTAACCAGTTCTGGGTACTTGATTCTGATTGCTCGTACTTCCACTGAGTATAGATTGTTATTGGCTGAGTTAAATGTTCAACAAAATCCCAACCTTTAGTGACCTAAATACATCACGCTGACGAATTGCCGTTATTTTCATTCCTTGTTGCATTTCATTTCTTCACCTGAATATCATATTAATCTGCGGTATATCAGAAACATTTTTGCATCGAAAATTTAGTACTTTTTATCATATATGGAGAGAAGCAAAATTTATAATGAACATGAATCAAATTGTCAAGAGAATATTATTTCGATTTTTGGAAATGAAAAGTTGATATTTAAGCCATGCAGCCTAGCAGAACCGATTAATTCCGGTTTTGACAAGCAGAATCAACTTCCCACATCTAAGTAGCGGTATTGGAGGTCGACGAGTAGCTAATGCTACGACTTTTCACCACTGAGCTATACTATATTACTGGAGGAGGTGCTCCTATCTCTCTTCAGTCAAGCAAGTGAAACCAAAAACATAGAGGATTTTCGCATTTGCTGACGCCAGAATGAGACCACTGGTCCTAAATCCTCGTGGTAATTACCATTTGGCAAGGCCCATTTTGAGCGCTCTTCCACTTTCACATCCCCCCGACATTCGCCAAAATATTTTAGCTTTTTGTTTTGAAGTTTGCCTCGGTATTGCCTTCTCTTCGGCATTTTAACATTTGTTTCGAGTTGCACAAGTGGCAAGAATCATCCTGGCTAGTTGGCTAGTGAAAGACAGGCAACGAATATTCAAACCTCAAGAATTTTGGAAAGACGTTATTTGTAAAGGTAAAATTCGTAAAAATATACTGTTTATACAGTATGTTCAATATTAATTTGCGAAAGAGTATAGGTCAAAACAAAGCGAAATAAACAACCCATTTGTACTGTGTGGTGGACAATTTTAGCAACTGATGTACACAATTAGGTTTCCCGAACAGTATTAGTACGAGAAATAGTCTTCCTCGAAAGAAAATGGTTAAAATTTCAGATTTTAGTTTCATTTGTTATTTCAAATTTCACGATATAAAATTAAATGCCATGCAGCATGATACTACTTAGTAAAATTAAAGAGCTTTCTATTACATTAGTATACCTATAGAGGAAGACGTTTTTATGACAGAACTATCATGGCTTTGATTAATGATTTAATCCATATATTAAAATTGGTCACTTATGGTAATGAAATTATAATGTGTAGAACTATCAAGTCTATAATAAGATCCAAAAACTGGCAGTTCAATTCTACCAACCTATGTTGAAGCTAGTTCCATTTAGTGGGCCCTACTATTTTTTACTTGTCTAACGCCAGATGCTTTTACTCGTCAAAGGAGAAGCTCTGCAGCTTAATGGGTTAACCAAAAAATCATAATATACCGTACAGTACTTCAGTATATTGTAGCCCAATCATTGAAAAATTCAAATGTATCTACAACATATTTAGTATTAATTTATATAATACGAAAATTCTCCCTTCATTTCTCTTCTGCATGTACATATAGTATATATAGTATATATAGTATATATTTAACAATTATACCATGAGCTCGAGTCGTATATGAGCTGATAGCCGACGAGGTGCGTAGCACCGAGTCGGCTATCAGCCATATACGACGAGAGCGAATGGTATAATTGTTTTATAATATAGTCTAATATAGCCATTAACTGAAGCAGTAATTAATTATTCACTGTTACAATGTGTTGACAATTTTTTTGGCCAAAAACCGCTTGAAAATTTGAAATACTTTTGTTTTACAATTCGAAGACGAAGTGAAAGAATGGTTTTAGAACCTCTATATCTCGCAGGAAAGCTCAGATATATTATACAGATGTTTGGTACTATAGTAAGTGCTGGTTGACTTCAAATTCATTTGTCGTTCATTGCAAACTTTTCTGAACAATTTATATTCTCAATGAACGTGTTTTTTTCGCTGTTGTTTCGGTATTAATTCTTTAAAAAACTTGTATTTAAACTAATTTCTACGTAATAAATGAATTTTGCTAACCTGTCAAATTTTTTTGAGAGTTTTTCCTTGTAATATTATTATTCTCAAAGCGAATATTTTCCTTTTTCTGCTTCGCAAAACTCATGTAGTTTTTGGACCGCCATCTTGTTTTTCGCTACTCGCCGTATATGAGCTGATATACGGCGAGTAATTCAACCAGTCAGATTGCAGAACAGCTCATATACGGTGGATGACTATATTATAAATATATATATATATATATATATATATATATATATATATATATATATATATATACAGTATATATATATATATATATATATATATATATATATATATATATATATATATATATATATATATATATATATATATATATATATATATATATATATACTATATATATACTATATATATACTATATATACTATTTATAATATAGTCATCCACCGTATATGAGCTGTTCTGCAATCTGATTGGTTGAATTACTCGCCGTATATCAGCTCATATATATATATATATATATATATATATATATATATATATATATATATATATATATATATATATATATATATATATATATATATATATATATATATATATATATATATTATACAAAATAAAGGCCACGACCAAAAGAAATTAGAATATATAATTCAAAAATTTTAAATTTTCGACTGCATGTAACAGCCTTCGTCGAAAATTTAAAATTTTTGAATTATATATTCTAATTTCTTTTGGTCATGGCCTTTATTTTGTATAATATTATTAATGTTCAAAAGGCTGAGGCAGATTTCTTTCCTTGTCACTCATTATATATATATATATATATATATATATATATATATATATATATATATATATATATATATATATATATATACACTAGAGGCCTAAATAAAAGTCTATGAAGATTTGTAGTAGGTCTCTAGCCCCAAATCTTTAAATTATTGCAACATATTTTAAGCAGCTTTTTTATATACATGGCAAAACAATGGGAAAAAAAAACCAAAACAATGTCTCTAGTTAACCATTGATCCACAATGCGCCCCAGTAGGCCCCACTGTTTTTACTTGTCTAATGCCAGACATTTTAGTCGGCAAAGGGGAAGCTCTGTAGCTTGTTAATGGATTAAGAGAATGAAACATTCCTGATGATAGTTGATGTTGGTAATTCATGCATTTTTGGAGGGAAATGTTTTACACTGACAGTGGTGGTTCATCTGACACTGAACCCCAATATTTACACACTATTTGTCTGAACAATTTCCCTCATTCTTTCAACATGCTAAAATGAAACAAAATAAATTTCAGCTGAATTCAAGCAAGTTGTCGAGCCCAGTTGTCAAGACTAGACCTTGTTAGTAGCATATATCTGCTATAGCCCCAGGTTCTTGAAAATGAGGGGAATTTCAAGAACATTCTGACCATCTTTGTGCAAATAGGTGGCTTTATCGGTTAGGATGAGGGCCAATTAAGGGTGGGGTCGGGGGGCAGGCAAGGTTCATGTAAACTTGTTATTAGCACGAATGTTATGTGTACACAATCATGTATAATATTGTGTTGGATTAATAGCTGTTAAATGTTGGGATCCAGTGTCGAACAATAACCACAACAATTATTATATAAAGTATTTGGTTGTTTTAGTGTAATATTAATTTCTGACATATTTTTTTCAGAAATAAAGCACCATTGGGCAACATGTTGGCAAAGAGGAGTCACAAACTGTTGATGAATATTTTTAATTAACTACAAGAGGGGGGGGGGGTGAATAGGGGTATACAAATTCGCCGATCCGCCCAAATTTGTAGGAGTATCCGCCGTCCGACAATGGTCTTGTCTAAATTTGGATCCGCCAAAAACTCTACTATGAAGTCACAATCCAGGATCCGAACTTAATTGCAAGCAAAATCCACAATCCGAGGCAAAATATTACATAAAACCGCAATCCGCTGTATTAATAAGATCCGCCAAACCGTGTAAAATATTCTCCAAATCCGAACAATATTTTGACGGAATCCAACGATCCGAGAACCTATTTAACCCCCCCCCCCCCGCCCACCCCATCCAGCCATCCACATAAAATACAATTTTGTTAACAGTATATTGATTTATAGTCATAGTTATTATATTACATTATTTTCATATTAATTAAAAATAAAATTTACAAATTACAAAACCACGGTGAAAATATTGCAATAATCAATTAAAATGTCAAACTAGACAATTGTTTCAATTATGCATTTGTGAGTGTAACCTAACCCCTTGAGAGAACAAGGGAGTTGTTGTGGGGTCCTATTATCCATTTTGATAAGTGGAAATGCACCATTATTAATATAATTTTCCTGTCAAATAACAGACAAATATACTGGCAATGCAAGGGGAGAGCTCTGGCACTCTATGGGTTGACCAGTATATGCCTTTTTAACGTCTATAGGCATCCTGTTAAGTCAAGGGAGCACGCCAGAACTATTTGTATAAATTTTACTAACCTTTTTAATTACATGTAAATGTTTTCATCGGGCGCCATTTTGAATGTCGAAAGCGGTATATATTATTAGCTTATCGCAGGCGCGATAATTTATATTCATCTTTGACAATAATTTATGTTACACGATGATACTCCGAAGGGCGACCGAGAACGATCCGACATTTAAAATACGGCGGAGGAAAAATAAAAAATAAAGAGGGGAGTGAAACGGCCGAACTATTATCCACTGATGCTGGTTGACTGTTGCTAGGAACATTTGATGTTGCTAGGAACAAACCGGAAACAAAACGAGACCTACTATTACTGGAACCACTGAGTATTTTAATATAATATAAAACAACGGTAACTCCGAAAATAATTTCT